ATTTTGGTATCTTCACTTGTGAATAATTCCGCAACCAAACACTCTACAATCTTAATTTTTTGTCATTTTTTTATGTAGTTTCTTAAGCTCCCGGGCTTAAGCTCTAAAAGGATTTATAAAACTCATTAATATTCATAAGGCAAAACACAATAGAAATCATAGCCCATGAAGAGAGTTGTATATTACATATAGATTTCTTGTTCATTTGCATAAATTTTAACTCTGATTTTCTCGGTCAGATTGATTTTTTTTCAAAAGTTTCTTTAAAACCTGAGCTAGTTTACCTCAACGTTTCATAAGTAATATACAATATTCGCGGGCGATCTGTATGAGGTTTAAGACACTGAGCTCGCTTTCAGCTCGCTGTTTTAAATCCTCATACAGATCGCCCGCTCATATTGTATATATTACATAAATGTCATATTTTAATGTGATTTAAATATAGATTGTGGTGACGTAACTGAAAACCAAGATAACTATATAAAACAGACAATTGCCTGTGAAGCCACGACGTCTCTCCTCGGTTCAATCAAGTCTCTGAAGCTTTTACGTCATGTACCGTATACGCAATGCATTGTAGGACATGTTTGGCCGACAGAACATGGCGGATTTCTTTGTTTTCTCTAGGTACTGAACCCACAATGCATTGAAAGTCAAGTAGTGACGTAAAAAATTCGAAGAGGTCAGTTGGGTTTTCTGTCCTTATGCATTAGTCAATTGAAACCCCGGCCCCCCAACCCACACATTTTAGCCGGGGATTTAACGCTGTTTTAACAGTATCAATCCACGGGGGGGGGAGGGGTGTTTTGAAGTAAACAATTAATGAACTTGTTTATTTTTTTACTATTTGTTGGCTTTTTTACTTTTGTTTTTACGTTTTTTTATTATACACATGACTTTTTTGTAAGTGCTGTGTGAGTTTGGAGTTTCAAAAAAAAATAATTCCCATCAGGTCATTGACAGACAATTATATTTCCGCTGGGTACACACAATTTCTTATTGTTACTTTATTTTCAGCGGATGAAGAGCTGTATTGCCTTTGTGGGAAGGTGAATATGGCTTAATGTTAGGATGTTACAACACAGAATGCAAGATAATTTGGTATCATCTTCAATGCATCCAAGGTTCTAACCCAGATCCACCCAATGGAAAATGGTTTTGCCCATCTTGTGCCAAAACATAAATTAACAGTTAATAAAATTTGTCTTTCTCGAGAATAAATTGTTGATTGGTTATTTCTGTCTCCATGAGGTCATAAATGTCCTAATAGGGCGGGGCTCCCAGGGCCGGGCTGGGGGAAACACGTTACTTTAACAATTGCCAAATGTTAATTTCCCGGCCTTTCCCGGGGGTTGGGGGGCCGGGGTTTCAATTGACTGGTGCATTAGTTCTTTATAAAAGGTAGCCTCCTCCGCAGCATCTCTCTATTTTTAGCAACCGTAGAGTTCAAATCTCATTGCGGTCCAACCGTGGTTTAACTCTGGTACTACCCTGATATATCTCGCCTTGATTGGCACAGGAAGGGCATGTGTTACAACTGTATGGCGATCTTCGTTACCATTGAATACCTGCATATAAGAAGTAACGGTCACGCGGTATTAAAAATGCTATTGAGCAAAAATATAGAGTTGAAATATTTAGAGAAGCAAACGAGCGCTTATTGACAATAATGACGAAAAGGGTTGTATAACAGAAGTGTCTAGTTGGATCGGATCAAGAAATTTTAAAGAGGGAACACAGGGGTGGACACAAATATAGATTCTGCACCGTTGAGGTCTTGAGAGATGAAACGCTTCTCATATTGCTTAATACGTTATTTCTTACACTTTTTGAAAAGAATACAATTACAAGTAAGAAGTAAAAATGTCTGATGGATTAAATCTTACTCCCCCTCACCCTCCGTCCTTGTCTAGTGTTTTCGTTACTTTAATCTAATTCAATCATATTTCAACAGAAATACATTCAACCTACAAGGTATGGTAAGATTCATCTTAGGGTTGGTTCTTTTATTTTATTTCCTCAAGGAAAAATGAAACCGAGGCAGTTCAAACTACTTTGAAAGACCTTACAAATTCTTGGTTAATAGCTCGACGCTCGCGTGTTTGAAATTGATCACATTCTTTCCAAATAACCCGTTTAATGTTCTTAAACTGAAACTGCGAGAGCGCACAAAAAAAAACTGAGTTGAGTCATATTTTCGACCATATAAACTAGCACCTCAACCACTTTTTTCTAAGGAGTACCGTCGCTAGGCAACCACTTACCATTTTTGCAGCACCTCCCCCATTGTACTGGCTCCACACAGCACCATCTTGACTAAAAGACAAACTATACTTTTTCATCCAGTTATCGTGGTTCGCCCTTCCTTGAGTTGCAACTTTTGTGACAATCTTGGTGGAGCAAAGGTCAACCTGGACATATTCCTTTGGCCCTAAATAGTTTCCCCCGGAACACCATCCTT